CGCTAAGACCATGGCTTTTCAAACATTCTTTACGATAACCCATGTTAAAAAATACATTTTATATTACAATCCAGTACATACACACACACACACACACACACACACACACAGGTTATGAAACAATACTTATACCAATTACGGGCAATGCACTGTGATACTTTCTCTTCTTACCTACTGTAAGTCATTAAAAAAAAACTGCCACTACAATCTCCTAATTGATTTCATTACTTGCTAGTGGGTCACATCCTGCAGTTTGAAAACCACCACCCTGGGAGACAGGAAGGTTCATGGAAGATTTCACAAGTATGGTTCACAAATCCCTTCAACCTTTCTTTTCTTTTGCATTTCAAGACATTGCAAAATAAAAGAAAGTCCAGCCCATTTCCTGGAAAACAAAACACACCTGTGTTCACAGATCACATGGTGTGTTGTTTCCACATGGGGTTTCTTGTGTGTTTGGTTGCGGCAGCTGATTAGGCTTCTCGACAAGTAGGATTTCAAAATACAGGACTCTCTCTAAGCAGGGCCTTGGTGCCCTGCGGAAAGTAGGATCATATGTCCCCAATGTCTTTTATATGAGAACATTCAATAAGCAACCTCTTTCACGTAAAGGGCCCACCACACTCATAACCCAGAGGTGAGCAAGCGTGCTGCCTCCGGGCTGCTGAAATAGGAACACAGTGCCTAGATGCCTTTCCAACCACGCACAGATTTAAAATTCACACCACCATCAACACTACCACCACCTCCCTCAACAAGGAAAGAATCTCCCCACCCAGCTCTGTATGCTTTTGTGTTCAACCAAAATCCTAAAGCTGGAAAGAAACACAAAGGCCATCTGGTCTACCTCTCTCCTTCCAAAGACCATGGCCAATGAAACTTTTTGGACTCACAGTTGAGCTATTTTCTGTTGTACCACAACATGCACCTGTGCTCCCCAGGGCCTTTCTTGTGGTACTGCACAAACTCTAGATTTTCTACTGTCACACTTTTGATTATGCTGTTCCTCCTACTTAGAATGTCTTTCCCTCCTGCCCGGACAAATCCCGCTCATCCTTCCAGATCACATCGCACGCCCTCTAAGAAGCCTTCCCCAAACTCTACAGCTCCTGTCCATTCCTTGTTCCTTCTCCGAAATGAGATTAAGCTCACTGAATTCATGCAACCCTTTGCCTCTTAGATACTGTTTGACAGTTAATATATATTTATTGACTGACTTTCTAATATTTAAAAGAAGGTGCCTTTATAAGAAACTTTAATCTTAAGTTAACCTTTCCTACAACATATTCATCAAGGAGTAAATAGAAAGATTTAGCATTTTATTATGATGATATTTTAATCAGGTAATCATTATAGAAATAAATATTAAGCTATTAATTTCCACATACTCAGAACCCGTGACTACAATAATGGTGGATGCCAGCACTGTTGATTTTTCTAACACAGTGTCATATGGGAGAAACTTGCCTTAGGCAACCGAATTCTCACATGTACCAGACAGAGCAGCTGAGGGGCTTCCTCCCTAAGGAGACACTGTGGTAGATGCTATCATGGAAGGAGATTTTGTGCTTTGATACACAGTCTATCAATGAACTCTGTGTGGCTTTGGTTACTTATTGCTGTAATAGGATCACTGAATTTTGTAATTTAGAAAGAACTTAAAGATTATCTATTCCATCTCAGATGAGGAAATTAAACCAAGAAAAGGTGAGCTAATGTGCTTCAGATCACCCTCGTAGAAAATGACAGTTAGGGCCGGCCTTGTGGCTTAGCAGTTAAGTGTGCGTGCTCTGCTACTGGCGGCCTGGGTTCGGATCCCAGGCACGCACCGACACACCGCTTCTCCGGCCATGCTGAGGCCGCATCCCACATACAGCAACTAGAAGGATGTGCAACTATGACATACAACTATCTACTGGGGCTTTGGGGGGAGAAAAAAAGGAGGAGGATTGGCAATAGATGTTAGCTCAGAGCCGGTCTTGCTCAGCAAAAAGAGGAGGATTAGCATGGATGTTAGCTCAGGGCTGATCTTCCTCACAAAACAAAAAAAGAAAGAAAATGACAGTTAGGGCTAAAACCCAAATCTTCTCTTCTTCAAAGAAACCAGGAGCTAGAAGCCAAAAAAAACTCATATCCCCGAGCTCTTCAGTTTCATTTCCCCTGTCCTCAAACTTCCTGTCTTCCACCAGATGCCTCTGTCTCACCACTGAGGAACTTCCCCAGGTCCTCGACACCAAACTGTCTTCCGGCCATTAACCAATTCCGCAGTGTTGTTCCATCTCAACCCCATGACTTCTCTTAGCCTACTTGGTAATTGCATTGTTTATTCTGGTTTTTCCCTTATCCAATATCACACCTGCCAAAACCACACAGCTCCTTTATTTTAAACCATTCCATAAGTTCCAGACAAAGTTATATCCAAAACTGAAGCTAGTGACCACGACTGTCTCACAAAGAGTTCTATTCTCTCCACCTAGGATTAGAGAGGCCTTTTTTATCTCATGCTGTATATGGTATACAATATGTTAAAAAAAGAAAGTTTTCTCTTTAATCAGGCAGGTAATTTCTCAAGACACATAGCCAAGCAAACGATCATGCTTGCAAGTTAAGCAAGGAAAGTAGCAGAGTTCATTGACACTACCAATAAATACCACTTTACTCTTTACCAAAAACATCAATATCCTTCTAGCTCAGGAATGGAAGAATTGACTAATGTGACTCCTCTTTCGCTTACTCTTGTCTATGCTCTCGTCAAGGCACTAAAAGTAGAATGAGGTGGTCAAAGCAAAAGATAGGACAAAGGGGAGACCAGTAACAAGTCCAAACAAATCAATAGTAGCTGCAGAGTGTGGTGTTAAACATGCAGACTCCAAAGGCCCACTGGTCAGCCTTGGTTTCACCACTGACAGCTGAGGGACCTTGGGCATACTGCTTGAACTCTCTGCTCAGTTTCTTCACACGGTAAATGAGGATAGTAGCAGCACCTACCTCACAGGGTTGCCATGAGGATTAAATACGTTAATATGTGTAAAACATTTAGGACAATGCTTGACACATATTAAACATTACATAAATATTTGCTAACTAAAATAAATCCTCAGTTTGAAATTATTTTAACAATCATGCTATGTGTTTGCTCACCTCCCAATCTTACTAGCAGTTTCAGGACCTAGAGACATTGTGATGGTTCCCATACCACACCCCATACACCCTGCATCCTCTAATATGAATTATTTCCCAAGAACTCATTTTAAAATTCCTTCACATTGGGCCCTGACAGGAATATACTTCTGGATATCTCTCAATAACAGTCCCCATTGCTGCAGCCACCACACATGGTGAGAAACAGCCCCTCTAACATAGAAGACAAAGCCTATGAAACCACAGAAGTTCTTGTTTGCCCACACATCACCAGTTCTATCTGTAACCCAGGACCTACTAGAGAGAAAACAAAACAAAGGGAAAATTCTTCACACCAAATGTGTCTTCTTGGTACAGGGCTCACAGTACAAAGCAAAACTCCTAGGAGCTGTTCAAACTTGCTGTCCTAAAGCTTCTCTTCCCTTTCTTTCTTCATTTTATTTTGATCAGGCTCTTGGCTACAATAAATTTGAACTTCTCAAGGTCACCAAAACACTACCACTTTGCTAAACCCAGTGAGACCTCATCTTACTCCATCTCTCAAGAGTATTAATACTGCTGATAGTTCCTTCCTTTTGGTGGTTTCTAGGCCACCATATTCTCCTGGGTTTCCTGGCTACTCCTTCTGGGGCTCCTTTGCTGGTTGCTCCTTGCTTTCCCACCCTCCTTACTGGAGTGTCCAGAGGCTCGTTCCTTGGTCTTCTCTCCTCCACCCATGTTCACCTCCAGGGTGGGCTCATCCAGTCTTGTGGTTTAAAATACCCTTTCTTCCCCCAAGAACTCTCAAATACAGATCTCCAGGCTGGACCTAAATCCTGAACTCCTGATTCATTAACTCACTCAGATGTCTAATGGGTTCCTAAACTTAGCTTGTCCTAAACCAAACTCCTGACCCTCCCCATAAACCTCCTCCTCTTCAGTCTTCCTCCTCCTCCTGCTCTTCAGTCAGGAGTGTCTCGGTGAACGACACTCCCCATCTTCCCTCCTCCTCTCACCTTCCTTCATACCATACCAGTCAGCAAATCTCATCAACTCTCCCTTTAAAAACCCTCCAGAATCCCACCACACCTCCTCACCTCCAAACTGCCCTGTGGTTCCTGTCACTGTCATCTCCCCCAAGGACTGAAATACCTTCTTAAGCAATTCTCTTACTTTGCCCTTGCCCCATTACAGCATCTTCTCAAAACAGCAGCCAGGGAGAAGACATTAAAACATAAGTCAGATCATCTCACTCCCTTGTTCAAAACCTTCCAATGGCTTCTCACCACACTCAGAAAAGCCAAAGTCCTTATAATAACTGCACAGCCCCACATAATCTGAGCTGCCCCACTCCCACCCCATCAGCTCTCTGACCTCATCTCCTCCGACTCTCCCTTTGCTCACTCCACTCCAGCCACAGTGGCCTCCTTGCTGGTCAGTGCTCCTACGCTTACTGCATCTTCTGCCTGGAACATGCTTCCCCAGATACCCACGTGGTTCATTCCCTCACCTTCACGTCTCTGCTCAAAAGTCATCTTCTAGGTGAAGCTGTCCCTCACAACGCTTTTTAAAATTGCAAACTATACCTGCTTAGCACTCCTTATCTCCCTTCCCTGCTTTATTTTTCACCATAAGGCTCATCAGCATCTTATTTTATAAATATTGTAATAACATTTATTATAAAATCATTTTGTTTATCCCCATGAGAATACTTATTTTGTCTTCCCCTATTAGAGTATAAGTTCCAGGCAGGTGGGGATTTATGTCTGATCTTGTTCAGTGCTGCACTCCTACTACCTAGTAAGTGCCTCGTATACAGTAGGTGCTCAATAAATATTTGCTGGATTAATGGGAATAATGGCTCACTTGGTTCCTCTTACCTAAGACAGTCATCACCGTCTTCATTAGCTTCATGGGTGTCTTCCGGCGGCTGATGGACCCACTTGTATGTGGAGATAAGACATTGGTTTTCCTCTTGACGTACATGTAGATCCGCAGATACACCACAACCATGATGAAGAAGGCCACGAGGTTGGACACAGTCCAAAAAATGAGGTAACTCCTGCTGTAAATGGGGGCCAGGGAAGAGCAGGCAGAGATGTCACAGAGGCAATTCCAGCCCAGTGTGGGCACCGCCCCCATAAAGATGGCAATGGCCCAGACGAACAGAATGAGCAGCGTCACCCTCTTTTTGGTCAGGTTGCTGTGGACCCGCATCCTCATGATTGACATGTGCCTCTCCACGGCAATAACCAGCAAATTGGTCAGGGAGGCAGTCAAGCTAGTGTCCAGAAGCCCCTGGCGGAGAAACCAGCGGTTGACTGTCAAAGTTTTTGAAACTGGGCCAGTGTTAAACATCAGGAATACATAGGCAATTCCAGCAAAGAAATCTGCAGCAGCTAGGTTAGCCAACAGGTAGTAGAAGGGAAAATGAAACTTTCTGTTTTTGATCACTGCTGCGATGACCAGAGAATTAGAAAAAAAAATAAACAGGCAGAAAAATGTTCCAAGACACAAAACAATCACAAGCTTCGTTCCTGTCCACTCATCGACAGTGTCACTGTTGCTCCTATTATAAAAAAAGTCCATCTGCTTATCATAGTGACACTCATTCATTGTGGAGAAGAACCGAACATCCTAGAAAGAAATTTAAAGAAGAAATCAATATCACTCTTTGCAAAATCAGTCACTAACCCACCAATTGCCACTGCTAAGCCCCTTGTTCTGGTCAACTCCTGTTAATCCTTCAGATCTCAGTGTAAATGTCCCTTGCTCCAGGACCCTAGCCCCTGACCTCCTATCACAGCATTTATCTCACATCAGTAATTGTTGTCCATTTCCCAGGCTAGGCCGCAAGCTCAGTGAGGGAGGGTCTGTTTCGTTCACCATTACAACCCCAGGACCCATCTGCCCTGGTTGCCTCATGACTGGTGTTTGCTGAATGGCTGGCCGGCTGGCTGGCTGAATGAATGAATGAATGCATGATTATGGAGGCAACAAAACATCAAATATTCTGAGGCCTGAAAAATGCACTGAGCGTTGGTAACAATTACAGCACAGCATGTTAATGCTTCCTCCTGATGGTTTCCAGCTCATTTCTTATTCGTGGGTTCTGTTCATTTATCAAGGGCAGGCTGGTAATGCCCAGCACATTCTTGCCAGGATCACAGGGGTTGAATTACTCCTCACATGACCAAATGGCTTCCCCAGGAGATCAATTTTCCACCACTTCTGATTCCACTCCTGACACTCCTTTGGCCATCTTTTGGTTTCCAGCTACGATGACAGCACTCACTTGTTAAGCCTGTGGTGCAGGGCTGGAGACGTTGGTCTCAATACCCCCTTCCTGACCTTGTTCACTTCTTCCTTATAGTCTCCTAATCCAAACTCTGACAATGTGAATTTGTTTACTGGATTTTCCAAGTCAATCACTTCAAGTCAGTTTCCTTCCCTGGGCTCTTGTGAACACAGCAGGTCGGGGAAGAGCAGGCCTCCATGGGCAAGATGAAGATCTGGAATTTGGGCAGACGTCCAACCACATGTGGATACAAGGACATGCCTGCCAAGAGGGGCAAGTCCTCAGGACACATGTCTGAAATTGACCCCAAACTGGGGTATCAGGCAGACAGGGAAGGCACTAATCTCAGGAGAAGACCTTTTGGACCCCAAAAGTGAGGGATTCTGGCCAAGGAGGGGCTGGGCAGAAGCTCTAAGGATGCCCATCCATCTATACTTGGTGGAAAAACGAGGTGTTCTGCCTCACAGTGGTCTGGCCACAGCCATGAACGGTCCAATCAAAGAAGACTGGGATTGAAAGAAATCTATCTTTTGGGGAGAAGGACCATGGGCTCCAACGATGCTACAGTTTTTTCACCGGAGAACCAGAGGTCCAGTAGGCCCAGGCACTGAGCTGTCCACTGGCAAGAACGAAGTGGCTCTAACGGCAAAAGCTTAATAGAAATCCCCAGCTTTTACAGTTCTTACAAATTCTGCAATCCAGTACCACATCCAGAATCAAGATAAGCAGATCAGATATCAATTTGAAGTAGTACAAAACAGAAATGTATCTCAGAAAGTCTTCTTTTTAATTATATTTTAATGGTGTAATGATCCTTGTAAATGAATTAGATACTTGCTTCTCTATCATGGCAAACGGAACGTAAAATATCATTTTATATGCTTAAAATAAACAAACTGGGAGTGGTCTCAAGAGACAAATGGTTCCAATGCCTTTCAATTACAAGGAAGGGGGACTCAATTTTAATAATAACAAAATAAAAATTTACTCTCTTTGACATATATTCACCAATATTTAACTGTCAATATCAGATACTTCCATAAAACAGGCCAATATATCTATCCTATATCATGATAATTTTCCCAAATTAAAAATACAGATGCATATGATCATTTTAATAGCTTCATAATGTTCCAGTATATGAATATACCACACTTTACTTAACTAATCCCTAAATGTTGGACATTTTGTTGTTTCCAATATTTCACTTTTGTAAGCAAGGCTATATTCTTGTAGATTAATCTTTACATATTTGGTCAATTATTTCCTTAGTATTAATCCATAGATTCAAATTGATGAAGTAAAGGATAAAAACTTACTTAAAGGTTTCTAATACATATCATCAAACTGCCCTTGAGACAGTTTATTTGTTCTGTCATTCTATCTCTAATCCCACCAGTAGCATATGAGAGTTGAACAGACGATACTGATCTAGTGAAAATCAGTGTAAATATCCAAGGAGAAAATTCAGCTTTCAACAGTGTTAGAAGTATATAGAAATTGAAGACAAACAATCTACGAACCACATGAGAAATTTTAATGATACAATTTTGTGTGTCCTTTCGCTAATGAAAAAGTCTGTATTTTATTTTGCTACATTCTCCAGATAGCTAAGAGAAACACATTTCTAATTTAAAATTTATATAATCCTTTTTAAATTAATCAGCAATATTGAGATTAATATTAATTATATATTAACATTACTAATTATTAATATTATTAATTAATAATATATTGTTCATATGAATATATTAATATTCATATTAATAATATGTCAGAAAGAGGTTGGAATTAAGATACTACCAACAAATGGTTAAAATTTTCCTAATATTCTTTTGAAGAGGTCTTAAAATTTTAATTTTGGTTTGTAAATTTAGTTGAATTTATAATTATATGATGTCCTAAAACTTCAACGATTTTTACTTCAAAATCTTCAAATTCAACTTTCCCCCATCGAAACCAAAATGGCACATTCTTAGACATGTTTTAACAAAAACTGTCCTGAGGCTGAGAAAGACTTTTGTCTTACAAAGCTGAAAAACCATGACTAACCCGAACTACCCCCCTAAGCAGCTCCCTACCTCCCAGGCCTGAATTCTACTTTGGGGAGAAAGAGACAGGAGAGCAAAAAAGTTTGTATAGGGAATTGGTGAAAAAGATTCCACAGGACGGAATATCACACAGCCATTGAAAATCATGTTTACCATGAAGTTGTGTTAATATGAGAAAAACCAGGTGCCATTATTTTCACTACAAATTACATACATACATGTATATGTATATATACATATATACACACATATATTTGTGTGTCTGGACTATTTTTAAAAGATATAGAAAAAGATAATGAAAAAAATCTCAAAATGTAGTTAATTAAGAATGGTGGAATTGTGGGTCAATTTTAAAAACTGTTTTCAGTTTTTTCCATGTCCCACATTTTTTGTAATAAACAAATAAATAGGCTTTTAAATGCTAGTTTACAAATTCTGTCTTAGGAGCACACACTCTGCTTAATGTATTCTACCTTTCTTCGACAACTACAGCTCCGGGAAATCAAAATTACTGTTTAAAGGAAAAGCCTCAAGAATTCGCTTATGTTCATTAGTACTACTCTTACCAGCATAGCACTCTTCAGAGTTTTCAGTGATAATGAACATAAAATGGTTTCCTACTTAAAACTTCATGAAACCATAAGACCTTATATGCTGACAACTAACCACATCGGGACATCACTTTCCCCAACTCCCCCATAAAACGTTTCCTAGCGCGATCACCCCCGAGTTCCAAAAATAAATAACTGGAAGTTTTGTGAATTAATACTTTCGACTTTTCCTCCTCTGCCATATGTTGCCAAGCTCACTGACAGTCTCTAGTACACATTAACTACAGATCACCATATTTCCTTAGCTAGAAATTGCCAAAAACTTTGGTTAGCTTATAAGAAATCATCGATTTATCGTCTCAACTTCTCTCAAACCTTAAAATATGATTCTGCGATCCTGGCTTAAACATCCCCTCCACTGAGACCCCTTCTCTGAGCAATCCAACGTAACCCTGCAGCTCTTAATATGAGAGAGCCCTGTTTTATCTTCATCAGAGCACTTGTCATTCGTCACGTATTTTCTTTTGTGTTTATGCATTTATTGTCCATCCCCCTCCGCTAGACAGTTCTGTTCCAGCAGAGCAGGGAACCCACCTTTAATGCTCATGTCTATAGTATCAGCATTTGTAGAATAAATGAATGAATCTGGCCTACACTCTCTCTTCCCCCACTAAAACAAAAAGGTTCAGTTATATGCCTTTGCTGACTTACACATCACCTACTAACTAGGACAATCAGAGAACTCCTTCACTTATTAACTGTGTTCTTGAGTGAGTTACTTAATATCTCCACTTCATTATTACTATTTTTAATTGCTAATATTTGAGTGATCACTTGGTGCCAGGTGCTGGACTAAGCATCTTACATGGGTCATTTCATGTAATCCTCCCAATAATGATGTAGATACTATTATTCTATCCATTCTGCAGATGAGGAAATGGAAGCACCCTTCCTGAAGGTCACACAACTAGGAAGAGGAAGACCTTGGATTCTACTCCTGCAGCTGTTCTCCCACGTGGATCTATAACTCTACACTCTCTCCACCGCCCCAAACACAGACAGAACCAAGAGCTAGAGTCATACTGACAATAACATAAAATTACCAAAATAGAACGATCTGATCAAATCACCTTCAAAGACTGTCTTGCACTATAAAATATTTGGGGCATTCTAAATAGCCTTTGGGGGCCAGCCCCATGGCTTAGCGGTTAAGTGCCCGTGCTCCGCTGCTGGCAGCCCAGGTTCAGATCCCGGGCACGCACCCGACGCACCGCTTCTCCAGCCATGCTGAGGCTGCGTCCCACATACAGCAACTAGAAGGACGTGCAGCTATGACATACAACTATCTACTGGGACTTTGGGGGAAAATAAATAAATAAAATTATAAATAGCCTTTGGGGTTTTGTTTTTTGTGTTTTTTTGGTTTTGTTTTACTAGCCCTGAGAAGTAAAGAAAAAGCAATTTTCTGAAAATATGTTTTCAAATTTTATGCTAATAGGCCACACAATATGGTCAATTTCAAGACTAGTGTGACATTGCTAAACTTTAATTCTGCCAAATCCCACGCTGTTTTTCTTTTTTTTTCTTTCTTTTCTTTTCTCTTTTTTATATTAAAGGTTTAGAGGGTTCGAATTGTTCTGACCCAGAAACAAAAGATGTTAAACTTTGGAGCTATTACCACAACTTCAAACTTCAGTAATTTAAGACTTCATAAAATGATGGTTTAGAAAGTCTATATGCGGAATCCAAATGAAAACT